TACAAAATTATAAAAAAAAACAAATTCAAGTAAACAACAATTAAAGAAAAGAAAAAGAGAATTGAATTTGTTTTATACTCTTTTAGGCTCTGCATATTGCAACATGTTATTCCATAGTTTTAATGTCTTCTCTTTTATTCTAAAATGTTGAACACACTTTAACAGTCATAAATGTAGATGGTGTATTTTAGGTGGTGGTCTGGTTCCATTGACTTACATTAAAAATAAAGTATGTTTTTTTATTCTCCTGTAAAGTTATCATTTTGGAGATACAAGGTTTTCTTCCAACAACAGCGATAAGCAATCTTTAAAAGGAACAAACGTGGTAAAGTAACTTATTAGCATTTGACATTTTTGTCAGCAAAGTCATTTACTTTGAAAGTCAACATGCAGAAAGCCGTACTGTTGCAGTGCAACATGAAAACCATGAGATTTCATAAAGAGCTGAAAGTTTGACTTGAGGTTTTTGTGTCAAATGATATAACCTCTCAAGAAATTTGATTCTGATTTGAAATTTCATTCTGTTTGTAAAAACTATTTAATTTGTTTGAAAACTTCAGTTCAAATGTTAAAACAGTTCTAACTGTTTTAAACTTAAGAGCTGCCAGTTCTGCTGCAATGTTTCACATCGTTATTGTTCCAGAGTGGTTAAGTTGAATTTTAATTTAAACTTAAAGTTGAATTCCACATTTTTTTAAAATGTCTTTATAATTAAATCTTTGAGTCATTTTCATCTCATTATTTCACTACATACACATTCACAAAGCATACATTTGTCACCACACCATTCTTTTAAAGTCTGACCCTAGATAAAATAATAATAATAACAATAATTATAAAGTTTATTAAGGGAATAGAGTGATAAACCTGACTATTTTTTCTAACTACACCCTGTATATACCTCTCCACCATGCGTGCATTCCAAACAATGCATTTTATGCCAAAACCTAATTAAAAACTTTAGTAAAATGTCTCAGGCTTCAGGCATTGTATTCATACCCATTTCCTTTAATAGCTTTCTGTGATGTAGCTTTTTTAGACATTAAACTTTTGGATGTCTAATTTCAATCACAACCACTGTGAACAATTCTGACTCACAAAGTTTTTCTTGAATAGATCATTTTGTGTCAAATTGCTCTGAATGAATAATTTTAATGATTGAATTATGAAGAAATTTTGAAAAAATTGTTGGAATGCCCAGTTAATATTGCTAACATACTGTAACTTTTGAAATTATTTTTATGGTTGAAATTTTTGACTATAAGTTTTAATAGGTTTAAATCTGACCGAGGAAATTTGATATAGGTCAAAGGATAAGTTCATTGTTAAAGGACAGGTTCACTGAAGAGTTTTTGTGGGTTTTCGAAGGCTCAGGCCAGGATGTCAGTGTACTGCTTTTGGTGTGCTGTTTTGATGGCACAGTGGTGTGAACTGATGATTCTGACCTGGTGGGATCCCCCAAAAAGCGCCTAATGCTGATACGCTAGATGTTGTAACATTGCTGTGAGGATATTTCATTGCATTCAGCAATGCATAAGAGCATTAGTGAACTCAGGCACTGATATTGGATGATTAGTTCTGGATCACAAACTCCACTCCAACTCATCACAAATGCATTGGATGGAGCTCCATCACTCCAGAGAAGTGTTTGATGTGTGTTCTATCGTTTTGTCTCTCTGTGGAATTTTTATATAAGAGTAGCAGACCAGACCACAGTCACTGTCTGAGTCCTGTGGGGTTTGCATTGAAGCTGCCTGGAGGAGGCCTGGGTTGATATTGGAGGCTTTATTTATTGAAGGGCCACATAGGATGTAATGAAGGGCTTCTCTAAAAGCTTAAAAAGAGAAAATGAAGGGTGAACCTCTAACCCTGGAATTAAAGTCATTTAAGATCAGAACCACTGACTCAATGCCACCTGTGTCTTCACTTGTGCTGTTTTCTCTCAGAGGCTTGCAAAGGAGAGTGCAAAGACACCAAGACTCGTGGTGTAATAATCAATGAAACCCTTTCACAAAATTGCCATCTCCAAGCACTTTGAAATCCTTATTGTCCTACCAAGAACATCTCTTGTATTGACTAGTCAGATGCTACACATGGAATTTAAAATGTAATTCTGCACCAACTCTTTCAGTTAATAAGAATGACATTATGTGATTGGAAAATATGACTCATGCCCCAAGGGGGGAAACTCATTTTAATATGCATTTCATGCAAATGTATTGTACAATAATGAGCTTGCAGTCCATTTGACAGCAAGTTAAAAAACAATGAACAAATGTGTGCAAGCCTCCTTTACAATATTCCTGTTTTAGCACAGATAAAATGAAGACACAACACCCATGAGTCTTTAGCCCACCTGTGTAGCTTTTCACAGTTTTCTCTGGGACCACTTTAAAGGCCATTTTAAAGGATGAATGTGCTATCACACAGGAAATCACAAAGCAAACAGAGTACAGCAGAATGCTCTGCACATTGCAATCACAGTGTGCACTTTTGGAAGAGACGTGTTAAAATTCACACTGTGTTGTGTGTGTGTTTTGTGTGTGTGTGTGTGTGTGTGTGTGTGTGTGTGTGTGTGCGTGTGCATGTTATATTTGTTATGGAAAGAAGTGAAAAATTAAACATCTTGCCTACTATACACTGGATGCCTGACAGTATAATGGTCTTGTTAAGAGTTTTTTTCCCCTAGGATGGTTAATTTTCTTCTAAATAGCTCAATAAGGACAAAGTAATCCAGAAAACATGTTGGGTCTGAGCAGCTACATTGAAAAGAACACTGAAAGCTGCAAAATCACATTCAGACACTGCTTGTGAAAAAGGTCTGCTATTCCAGGTTCTGTCATGATGTTATAGACTTTGCTACCTTTACAACAATAGCCAAGAAAAAAAAATATGATAATTTATGGGTTCTCTAGATATGCTATATAAAAAAGTGCATACATGAAAATTTCATATATGAAACTTTAATATGTATAGAATTGAAATAAAATTTGTATTTGTCCAATCACAAAATAAAATGTACTGGCTTAGGTTCAGACATGTAGAGATGCAATGTTACTGTCATTTAAATGAGATTCAAATATAACAAATAGCCATGTATCGTGAAGGTGTATATTAATGGTCATATATACATGTAAGTAATTTACATCAAAGGTAAATACAAATAACCTATTAACCATATATAGTCATATGCAAAAGTTTAGGCACTGGTTGATTTTCTAAGTGTAATATATAAGTTAACACATCCTCTACAGGGAACACACTTTGCACATTTTAAGGCATAATTACTGTTTAGTTCCTGAATTTCACATATTGAGAGGAAAAAAACATTAAATGTGGCCTGTGAAAAAAATGATGGCACATTTTATAGTTTATGTTTTATTTCCAATATGTTAAATTCAGCAAATAAAATAGAACTAGTCTAGTAGAGTTGCAGACAAAGGCCGTATTTAAGTGAATGGATGTATTCACTTATTTTCACTTAGAAAGCCAACATAACGTCATTTGAGGCACTCAAAGATTTGCATATGACTGTAGGACATATGTATGGCTAAGGCTGTTTGTGAACATTTAGAGTCATGACACTGTGACATTTACTTGGGGACCCAAACACATATTATTTTATTAGAGTGAAATTCTAATGTATTCTAATGTTTTTAAAGAATCTATTAGATTTCATTAACTTTAAAATGTCCATGTTCCTGTTTTTTGTAAGTCATGATGCTTTTTGCCTTGTCTGCCAATAACATGAAAAATGACCAAGACAATGTGTAAAAAATACATAATAGTAATACTAAAAACATACTCATGGACTGCTTATATCACAGCAAAAAAATTGCCCTGTATGTGGTCATGTATCCTATTCTTGAATTGGTTAAAACAGCACTAGCAGGTTCTTGTGAACAATGTGCAAGAAGAACCGGTAAGAGACTACATTCCTGTGTAAAGCTGGACAGTCATGGACAAGCAAAATCAAATAAATGTGCAGTTCTGAAAGACTGAATGATGAAAAAACTGTTATGTTGTAAGAATTATAATAATATTTCCTCGGCTTTGTCATTAATAACAGATGCTGTGTTTTATAGTAAAACTGTGAGATTGTGAAAAGGCCGTATATGATCTCTTTTCCTCCACTTTGTCTGTCTCGCCTCAACAGACATCTAAGAGCCTCAGAAAAGCCCACAAATCTCTATTTGCACGACTCCCATGACCTCCGCTATTATGTCTGTGCTTTCTCTATTGCAATATTGAGACACTGAAGGCAGATACAGTCTGAGATTTTATAAAAAGCTTTTTCCCTTTCACCTGAGTGTGCCTCTACTATAATTGTTTAGCTTTAATAATAAAGTATACGGAATTTGTCATGTCTCATATCATGTCTACCATTTAAAGCCTATTTTATATTTTATACGTAAATATAAAGTATATTTAGTATACTACAGCATTTGTGGCTGTATTAAACTGCAATAACTGCAATAAATGATTTTGAAGAAAGTTAGTAGCCATGTTTGGAATTACTGAAGTCCTGTCAAGTGTAAAATTTATGCAAGAAGGTGTTAAATACAGTAGGATAATCTCAATATAACCCAATAAATAGTATATAAAACCCCCAATGTTTTGGAAAGATATCCTAAAGAAAACCATTTAATCGGCTGAGCCAGTGTCATCTAATGTAAGAGACAGCCACAGAGAATTGCTGTCTTTTACTGCAAGTCTGAGGGATAAAAAGAAATAAAGACTGAACACTTTAGGATGATGTGACTCAGTTGCTGTATTCTTGCATTGATTGTATTATTATTTTTTTTTCAGGTGTTTTCAGGTTTTGTCTCTATTTTCTATTTTCTTTCTGATGATGCTGTAGGTGTTTTGATCGATTCCTCATGTCTTCTTTCTGAGTGCATTTTTTTCTTTATTCTTCACCGTAGATGTACAAGGATATGAAGAGTCTAACCGAGAGCTCTTCATCTTAAGACTTCTCTATTCAACATTGGGAGGATCTCAGACAAAAGATGAATGCCTCAGTGTGGCCTCCATCACTCATAAACTCCTCTCTTGCATTCATTAACCTCAGTGAGGAGTCAAGCAAGGCCAAACCAAGCGCTTCAGGAACATGTGAGCAGGTCCACATCGCCCCAGAGGTTTTCCTCACATTGGGCCTGGTGAGCTTGCTGGAGAACATCCTTGTTATCCTCGCCATCGTAAAAAACAAGAACCTTCACTCACCCATGTACTTCTTCATCTGCAGCCTGGCTGTGGCAGACATGTTGGTGAGTGTCTCCAATGCATGGGAGACTATAGTGATCCACCTCCTGGCCAACAGAAGGTTAGTGGTGGAAGATCACTTCATCCGTCAGATGGACAATGTATTCGATTCTATGATCTGTATTTCTGTGGTGGCATCTATGTGCAGCCTCCTGGCCATTGCAGTTGACCGCTATGTAACTATTTTTTATGCGCTCCGCTACCATAACATAATGACTGTGAGGCGAGCAGCGCTGATCATTGGTTGCATCTGGAGCTTCTGCACTGGCTGTGGGATCATCTTCATTATCTACTCGGACACCACGCCTGTGGTGGTATGTTTGGTGGCCATGTTCTTCGGCATGCTGCTGCTGATGGCCTCCCTCTACAGCCATATGTTCTTACTGGCACGTTCCCATGTCAGGCGCATGGCAGTGCTGCCGGGTTACAACGCCTCCATCCAGCAGTGGGCCAGCATGAAGGGGGCCATTACCCTCACCATCCTTCTGGGGATATTCATTGTGTGCTGGGCACCGTTCTTCCTTCACCTTATCCTTATGATCTCCTGCCCAAGGAATCTGTACTGCATCTGCTTCATGTCCCACTTCAACATGTACCTGATCCTGATCATGTGCAACTCAGTGATTGATCCACTGATCTACGCACTGAGGAGCCAGGAGATGAGAAAGACCTTTAAGGAGATCATCTGCTGCTACAACTTGCGCAGCTTCTTTGTCTTCTCAAGTAAATACTGAATAACAAATAGATTATTACTTTAAGAAAAAATTCAATTAGCTGACACCTTAAACACCGAACACACACTCCTGAAGCTCCATAGGAGAAATAGCATCAGATAAAAAGGAGGCATGAGACACTTTTGGCCCAGTTAAAAATTAGTATAGTTATTCATAGCTTCAAAACTGAGCAGGTTCTTGGTCTTGGATGAGAAATAGTTCTTATTGAGATTCTTCTCTTTAGTCGCAGATAAACATGTTATATGAGTGTTATTATCTCTGTAAATTAGAGTACAATGTGTGACTTTATTGAGATCTCTACTGAAACTCAAGAGGAGACGCATGAGATGCTGAGGTCTTTTTCTTTTTCTCAGGAGAAACATCTGAGCAGCAGGAGACTTAAACAAAAGTCTCCAATGTCTTTGTATCTGATGTTACTGTTGTCTAAGAGAAACTACAGCGATATTAAGGAGATCTCTTTTTGATTTTTCTTCCCTGTATGTCAACCCTCACTTTCTTTCTCTCATAACTACATAACCTGCATAGATGTTACCCAATAATATAGTTAATGGATAATAAGTCTTAAGATCTTAAGGGGCTGATTAATACAGTTCATTTGTGGAGCACTGTTTACACATCAAAATGCAACTCAGAGTATATATTAAAAACAACAGAAAATGAAAAGAACTGAAGCTGAATGTAGAAACTAAGCACAAGGACGCAAGGCCTACCTTCAAAAACAGAATTTATTTTTACACGATCATTTTCAACCTTTCATTTTTCTCTTAAACAGTTTGTATTTTTTAAGACTAATATATGTAAATAACTTCTGTTCTGACAGTTTCTAGAAATTAATTAATGTGCTCTGTATTAACCTCACATTCTTTTATTTAGCTGCAAAAATATCAAATAGGCAGTGAGATACATTTAAAGATCATATAACATCAGAGATTTAAAAGCATTTTTAAGAGTCTGACAGGGTGGCTAAATAGATGCATCATTGGATGATTGGATTGATGCATGTAAAAACATCTTGGGTGAACTGAGGACTGGACAGCACAAGAAGTCTTGCGTGTTCCATTCGGGAATCACTACGTAAACAGGTCAGTTTTGTGTGTTAAACAATGATAAAACTGTAATATTCTGCTTACTACTATCTAGCACCCCATACTGCTGGTCCTCTTTCTATAAAATGAGTTCAGTTTTATGGTATTTTTGCAGTGCACTTAGCACTTTCTGAAGGCACTTGTAACAACCCGACGTTGCAGCTTTGGGACATTTTGTAACACTTCATACAGGCTTCATAACACATACATTCCTGTACAAAACTTCTGTACTTGAATAGAAGTATAACTGCCCTTGCTGAAATGTTACTGAAGTAAAAGTAAAAGTCCACTGTCTATGTTTCTTCCTGAGTATCAAAGCATAAAATTATTGCGTATAAAAATACTTGAAGAGGAATTCCACAGATTCTACATAAATAACTAATTATAATATAAACAAAGTCATGCAGAGTGCTTTGATGTAAAAGGCTCTATTCTAGAGAAAATTAGAGAGTCAGAATTGTTCATAGTGGTGGTAATAGGAACCAGATGTCTGATGAGTTTAATGCCTCTAAAAGCCTCCTTGAAAAAAATTATTACATGAAATGGTTATGAATATGCTGTAATTTTCTAGTTGTTACCAAATTGTTGTTTATTAGAAATTAGTTATTATGTTAAAAGTTAGTTATTGCAAGTTAGTTATTGTACAATACATGTTGTCAAAACAAATCAGTAATAAAATAATACATTTCTAGTTGTTATCAAATATAAAGTTAAAAAGGTAAAATAATAGCAACAAGTTGTACTGACCTAAAAACTACATGCTAATTTTCACTGAACTAATTTCAGAGCCTTTTGCCTGATCTGTGCTTTATAATAGAGTAACAGTATTTTGTTAACAGGTAACACAAAAGAAATATGTGATGTATTTTTCAGCCCAGATTCTGTATAATCCCAGTATATTTACCACATCTATTGTTGAGTAATAATACTTGTCTGCATATAGTCATCCATATAAAAGTATATATACATTTTGAAGATGTTTTCACCTGACATGAGATGTAGTAACTAAGATACAATAGGGAAAGAAGTAAGTTTGCATTTTACAGCTCTAATAACATTTAGTTTCACTGTAATTACAGCCTGTAACTGTGTCTGTACATTAAATTGCACCTGTTGTAAGAAGTAAGAAAGTAGAAACAAGTGAATTAGTATTTTTCACAACTAATAATACATAATGTCAGCGGAGTTTTTTGGATAATAAGCCTAACGTTAAAAAACTCTGTAAGGATTTAAAAGAATTGGGGTTATATGTTGATTAAGCTCTTATGCTGTGAAATCTGGACACCTTACCCATGTAAATGTTCAAATTTATTGTTTAGTAAGTATTTACAGTAAGTGTTATAAATGTTATAATACATACTAATAAACAACTTGTTACTATTATTTTACCCTTTTATTACTGATTTGTTACCACTATAATTACTAATTTATTATTTAGTAACAACTACAGAATTAGCACATTTTTTAGGTTAGTACAACTTGTTAACATAACATTACCACATTATTACCCATTTTTTACTGATCTGTAAAGTGCTATCGAAATCTCAGTCAGTAAGTGTCTCTAGAAATGAGACCACTGAATTATGCATATGTTGAAAAAGTGGAATTTCTCTTTAAACATCAAAAGTAATGTACTGTGAGTTATTACACTTACAGAAAAATCTATAGGCCTAATATATGTGTTCTTAACTAGGCATCTGCCTTATAAGTTCCATTACTTGGAAATGATGCTTCATAATGGTGTTATAAATGGAACAAATGTTTGTCACTTTAGCGTAAGGCCTGTTAAATTCTCAAATATTGCTGTATAAATACATTATTCAATGCTCATGGTTGTGTGTTATGAAGTCTCTATGTAGGTAGTCTTCGAATAAAGTGTTGCCAACACCATTATTTTATTAACATTTTGAATTCTGTGTATAACTGTAAATATGTGTCTATTATCAGAAAATGATGATTTTTCTATGACCAAGATAGTGTTACAGTTGTGTAAGATGTATACATAATATGTTCTATGATGTGGCTTTATTTTTACCTGAGAAAATGGCAGGTTCTCTCTGTCTCTTGTGATTAAGCATGGTTGTTTTGTGGAGCTACAAAGCTTAGTGTTCTCCTCTAATCATGCTGATTTCAGTAGTTTAAAAGAAAAGGTGTGTGTACATATATATATAAGTAGAGGAGGCATGCCTTCTCAGTCCATGTACCTGTTCACTTCTTGCTGCAGTTAGTGGTGTGTAGTTGTAATGTGAAATGAGTCGTTTTGTGATGTAACTATAGATCTATAGTCACTGAGTATTGAATGTAATAATTTTACAGCAAAGCAAGGCAGCTGTCTAGGTAGTACTGTCAAACAGATTAAGACACAAATGCTTTATTGTACTATTGTATGTACTCGGATGGGATTGTGCAGCTTTTAACATGCAACATGTATGAGAAGACATTACTGAATGTAACTGCTATTTTTGTTATTTATAAGAAAATTAACACTCTAAACATTTTAATGCCTGACATTTTAAGCATACTATTAAAATGCATATTTATACATGAAGAACTTTATTTCAAAATGCTGTTTATTCATTTGGGTAACACTTTATTTGGTGTGGTCCTGTAGATGATTAACTCTTAACAGATTGTCAGTAACACATCAAAATCAGTGAAGCAGCAGTAGTGAAGCATCTGAATATGCTAAAGTAAATATCTTGAAGATCTACAATTGATACATTACTTACATTAAGTAGATGTATTGTTAATGTGTTACTTCCATTAGGCATAACCTAACTTTATCCAACCTTACCCAAAACTAACCCTAACCCTGGCCTTAATTCTAACCCTAACCTTAACCTCGACCCAGAACCTAATCCTAACCCTCGTATGTTTTTGAAATGCTGCTGAGCATCTGTTGAGTGTTTGTTTCATCTAAAAGGACCACTCAAAATAAAGTGTTACCTTCATTTGCAACAATTTGGATGTAAGTTTTTTAAAACAGTAACAGCTGAGGTATGATGGAAAACACATTGTTATTTCTTTAATGAAAGTGGCATTGACTTTAATATAGCACTGATATTTCTTGTATGTGTAAAGCTTATTACCAACCAAGTATGTCATTTAAACAGTCTTGAAAGTGGTCTGTAGTGCATTTTGGGATTAAACCCTTCAAAAATACATTTAAATAGAAAGTAGAAAATTGTTGAACATTTTCCCATATTTGTATTTCTTATCATAAGCTGAAACAGTAATTGTTGTGCTATTTAATGAACATTTGCTGAACATTTAACACATTTTTTTCCAATTGTTTACTCAGTATTATCAGTTTAGTGTTGTTTCTGTGCATGCTTAGGTAGAGTACCTTCAATACAAGAATCCCTTCTGTTATATGCTGTGAACAAAACATTGATTAATATTACTGAAAGGGAAGCCAGTCAAGTCCTGTATGTGATTGTAATAATAAACATTTCAATATGTTATATATATATATATATATATATATATATATATATATGTTTATATATATGTAATATATATGATAATAAACAAGTAGTCTTCTGAGTAATGACTGCCTGGCCTATGCTCTCTGTAATGCATTTGAAATGCTACATTCACATGTATCTCTGATGAAGTTCTGAGCTTGCGTAGAGCAAAGGAACATTTTCCTGAAGGTGTTTCGTAGCTCAGCGCTACGGTAGGCATAAATGGCTGGATCGACCACAGCATGACTCATCAGCAGCACCACGTGCAGCTGGAAGAGCGAGCGGTAGCACTCACAATATGGGTTTTCTGGACATATCATGATGATCAAAAGGTGGAGGGACAATGGAGCCCAGCAGACCACAAACACACCGAGCAGGATGGTGAGCGTGAGCGCCCCTTTCAGACCACTCTTCTTGTTGTGTCCAGCAGAGCCAGGCATGGCCGCGATCCTGCTGGCATGATATCGCGCCAGCAGGAACATATGCACATAGAGCAAGAGGATGAAGAGCAGTGCTGTGAAGAAGACCACGACAAAGAATATCTTGACTGCTGCGGCTTCAAAGAACCCAATCATGAGAGCCCCGCTGACACCGCATAGGGCCCAGATGGTGGCCAAGATGGCTGCCGTGCGCCGCATAGTCATGAGTGAATGGTAGCGCAGGGCATGGAAAATGGTGATGTAGCGATCTGCGGCAATTGCTAAGAAGCTGAAAATGGAGCCTACAAATGACATGCAGAGCAGAGTGTCCATTACATTGTCTATCCGGAGCTCAGATGTTCCCCTGGAGTTGAGATGTCCAGCGTCTCTAAAAACTAGCATGATGTTCTCCCAGGTCTTAGAGAGGCTGGAGATGGTGTTAAAAGCTGCCAGGCTGCAGATGAAACAATACATGGGCGAATGCAGGTTCTTGTTGTGAATTACCGCCACAACAACCAGAAGATTCTCACTCAGGCTCACAAAGCCAATGACCAGGAAGATCTGAATAGGAATCACAACTTCAGGACAGTCTGTGGCCTGACTTACATTGTTGCTCATTATAGGCAGGTCAGAGCTGAGTGAAGGAGACTCCATGGAGGCTGAGCTGGGTTGTGATGAGTATGGTTCACAGGATCAGGTCCCCAGCACCCTGAAAAAATAAGGATCTGTTGTCACAGTTTTGTAGACTAGAATGTTTTACAGAATCAAAACGTAACCCCTTAATATTCACAGGTCCAGAGTTCCCTTCATCACTCATGTAACTTAATAATAACTCATAAATTATGGATGTGAACATCCATGATGTGTAAGGGTTGATCTTCTTTTGATGATGAGAACTGAGATCCCAATTTGAGTCTTCTGATGTGCACAGCAATAAAACTGCAGCAATTCCAAAATACATTAGGGAAGTCTTTGAGGTAGGTCCACTCCGAAAGGTTCTACTTGGCACACCTACATGGACAAGCTGAAAAGATGAAAATTTTTCTCGTAAGAGCTTTTTGGAGAGCAATGACCTTAGTCTGGCCATCAATATTGTTTCTTTGGGTGAGGCACTTAACCACAAATAGTTCCCCTCCATCAACCACAACACGGTAGCCTTGAGCAAGAACAGGGACTGACACAGCACAAGCAAATGAAGGTAAGTAATTATATTAATTAGCAAGCATGACATTTGAAGACGAAGCAGATGTTCTCACTGATTTTAGCTTTTAGCTAATTTTAAAGCTCATACAGGTGGAATAAGGTTTGTGGATGCATTGAAAAACATTCTTTACCGGAACATAATTAAATTATGGAAATGATTTCCACACAATTAAGTGGCTGTCTTTCAAAAGAATTTGGTTACAACACACTCTTACAGCCAACAATGACGAGGCTAGGCAATTAAAGAAGAAACAGAACTGAAGCCCACGTCCAAAGGAAGCTAGCCTAGAAGGAACAAAAACACTAAATCTATCTAAAGTAAAATGAGATTTCCTATTTTAAGCTCAACAGACTTTGTTTGGGTATGAAATTCCTTGAGACACAATTCATTCTCTTTTATTGAACCTGATTAATTTGGCTTAATACTTGGAATAATTATGTTCTTTCAAAGCTAATACTTTCAGTATATTTTAAAGATGGGTCAATTCAATTATCAACTTGTTTTCCTATCTAATTTGTTTTTTTAACACATACAAGAACCAGTCCTGTGTGTAATGAGATAAACAAAACTAAACATAAAATAAATCTACAGGAAGTGACATGAGTTTTGATGAGTGTATGTTAATGAGGACTTTGGGTATAAATAAGCCACAGATTTGCCATCGAATAGGTGCTCTAGAAATAGTGTGGATGTAGGAGGAATATTCGTTATCATTCACAATCATTCAAAGGCAAGCAAAGACACATAGAACATCATAGAGTACAGCCTACAAATGGAATTTCTGCCAGCATGATGAACCAGAGATCTGTAATTTATTATCTAGTGTTGGCAGGAGCCAATGCTCGCCCAAGGAACTGCCAAGGCTAGAGCGTTACGAGTAGAGGACCTCTTGTGGCTAGAAAAGAAAGGATCAAAGGAGGCGTAAGATGAAAGAAGGACCGTTTGTCAGAGAGCATGTCATTAGTTACAGTGCTGTAATGCTGTGTTTGCAGAGCCACTCGTGCTGGCTGTGGGCTGCTGGGTGCAAGTGGATGTCTAATGGGCCTTGTGGAGAACTCCATGGGTATTTGAGAGAAATGCCTTTATGAACTTAACACATCTTTGCCATGCACTGAGCATGGCAGTGTTTTCAATTCACAAAGCAACAAGAGCCTCAGCATCAAAAAGAAATGGTAACAAGATCAAACGAACACACAACTACAAATAAACAGCATTATTACCATTTCAAATCAAGTGATCAAGAAAATCATGAGGAGAAAAACAAAAAAAAAAACTTTCAGGTTGATTATAAGTGGGATGGTTGAGGTTTGGCACTGCTTTCACTCTCTGCTGTATATCTCAGGCATACCACACATGAGTATAGCTCAACTAGCAGTAAATAAAAGCTGAATCAATTAGCTAAAAAACAGACGCTTTCAACGTCAGGAAATGTTTCCAGGAATTGATGCATTCATGACTAAATTCATGCGCACTTGTGTTAACATGGGGTTGGTTGGCTGATGTTAATAAGCTGTGGTTTTAAAGAATAAACCAATAAATAAAAATAATCTGAACTTTCATTTAAACCGACCCACAAATAAAATGTTTTTTCTTTTTTTAGCCTATATTGAAACCTATTTAGTGAATTAAATATTGTTTCGATAAAATGAAATATAATAAAAAACAAAAGTCAGATCTTTTAAAAAAATATATATATTTCATACATAAATTGTTTGGGTTCAACATTATCTTACTTATCATCAGATAGCCTACAGATGAAAAGTAAGAACAGCTTGATATCAGTGTGAGGTAAAAATAAGATAAACAGATGTATAATATAGTACTGCATTTTTAATTGTGTTAATATGCTCTTTAGCATGTGAGCAGTGTATAATACAAAATAATATATGTTTGATCAACAGCCCTACATTTGGGCAGGCTGACTAACTCCACACACATCAGGACACGACTCTGTATTTATTTCTACCACTGCTTATCAATGGCTTTCAAATATAAAGCCATATATATCAAATTATAGCTGATTATTATTTTTACTTAGTACATTTAGTATATTTTCAATATTTCACTTTAAAACATTTCTACAATGTATTTACACAGGGAGAGAATCTTTTTCTCCCCACCTTGACTGACTGTAACAATCAGAGGTCTCGATGGTTGGTGAAATGGGCAATTATTTTTACTTTTGCAAAAGATTTTCATTTGTTTTATGTTATTAATTAAATTAATGGGAAAAAAAACTCACTCAATACTTTAAGCTCATAAATACTGGACCTAATATTCATTTACTGATCTTAAGATTCTTAGTCCAGTAACCATTACAAAATTAGCATAGCATATAGTAAAGAGTACATACAAACTAGTAAAGTACATAGTACATACAGTATGAGAGGGAGAATAATAGAAACAGAAGTCTGAATCCACTCTGTTTAAGAGTTTTAGGGGTTAATGTCTTTTTTCGTGTGTCAGTTTATCTTAGTCCAGCTGTGTCGTGCATTTGATTACGCCAATGGTACATAAATTGATTGGTTCAGACTAGGAGACGGAATAATTAAAGACTGTCATGCAGCGAGGGATACCGAAGGAACCTTTACTGACATTTAAGCTTCCCTTTCTGCTCCAGTCCTCTAGTCTATATGAGATAGTTAATTATCGTTTTCCTGCTCAATATAACCTTTGTTAGTCCAGAATACCTAGAAGCTGTGAATATGGTTGCCAGAGTTTCACCGTTATGGCAAAAAATGATGCATGATCATTTCAGATAATTAAAGGTTACAGTATAAATCTTCTTACACATTCGAATGTGATGAAATCATCTCAGAGTACCTACTCAAACTTTCACACTGCAAAAGGTAGACTAAATATCACGAAACACTTACCCTTTTCGTCTCTGCAAATAAATTCTGTTAGCTGCAGTTCTTGTCTTTTGTGAGCAATGTCATCTGCAGTAGTGATGCTGTCTATTTACTTTTATCCTGAGGAGGGAGAATGGGAAGGACACAGTCTGTGTTTGTGTGCCCTTGAGTTAGCAAAGCTCTGTACATTCTTTATGCTTATGTTTCTTTACCCTTGGATGAGGTATAAATTAAGCCTTTTTACCCAGCCGACAGCAGTTAACAAGGCAAAGAAAGCTTTGAAATTCTTGGACTTGTTGGTTCTTGCCGTCATTGTTAAAGTAAGCGCTCAACAATCTGTATCTAGTTCAGTCTGTGACCATGTTCTTGCTCCTGTCTCATTTCTTGTGACTCTCAGGGAAAAATATCCACTGTAGTTTGTTCCAAGTCCTGAGGTCAGTGTACTAACACCCAACACAAAACTGTAGGCTTCTCTCTGCTCCTCTCTAAAGATAATAGACATGATTAGTTCCATGAACTTTGTAAACTTTATCACATCACACAGCTATAATCACAGGCGCTGAAATGCAATGATTAAACACCTATTAAGAGCTGCACTGTAGTGAAGTATGTGTCTAATAATTACAGCTCCAATAGACTAACTTGCAAAATGGTCATCAGAATCTAAAGTAATAAAAAATGATGCACATAAACTCTGACATCTATGACCACATTTTCAAATATGTCCCTGCATGTAACCTGGGCTTCCTCTCTCTATATGCTCAAATTACAGAACACACAAGCGAAAGTTGCAGTGCTTTTGAATATAACTATAATGCTTCTAGAGCAGTAGAGCAGAACCTGGGATAGCTTAATGATACTGAATATAAACTTTCACAATAGACAATGAATGGAGCACATAAGAAGGGTTCATCTTGTCAGTCAGTGTAGGGGAAAAGGACTGAGACAGATGTTTTACAGCTGTTGAACAGATTTGTAATAACATGAATTACAGCAGACGACTGCTTTGTAGTTTGTTACATGACACATGAATGAACACACATGCATACATATGTGTGTGCATATTCTTTGTTAGCCCTTTTTCACCCAGAACTTCAATGGTCAGGACCCCCACAGGACCACCTCAGAGCAGGTATTTTGGGTGGTGGATCATTCTCAGCACTGTTGGCTGGATATTTTTGTTGGTGAACTATTCTCAGTCCAGCAGTGACACTGATGTGAACTCCGTATATATATATATATATATATATATATATATATATATATATATATATATATATATATATATATATACAGACAGAGATCTATCTATCTATCGATTTAAAATCACTGTAATTATACACTTTACCATTATTACATCACTCTATCAATAAATAATGTCCCATAGTGCATTTAAACCCATGAACTACCCTGTGTGACTCAAACATCATATGATGAAAAGGGCCAGTGTGAGTTACAGCACTTCTGCAGTGTAAGCTTTTCTAAAAATTGTATGCTTTGCACAGGGTTCTGGCATACATTTCTAGCTCAAAGCAATGCTTTTGTTTGCTTTGTTCGTGCTTTTGCAGGGTGAGTTTATCTTCGTTTAGACTGCATTTGGCTGCCGTTTGAAGCTGCTGTGATATTCACATGTAGACTCTCTCCATCAGATTGTACTGAAAAGGACATAATTGTGAAACTGTGGCTGTGAGGATGCAGACACAACCAATGAGAACATGAAGTAGGTTCGTTTTGAGGGTTTGACCAAACGGTCATATTTACAACAATACTACATTTATATTGTTTTTTCAGAGGATTATGTACATCTACCTTGTACCTAATAAGACAATTTGTAGGTTTAAAGTTACTGACTGTAGCCCCCAACCCCCTTTCAAAAACAGAAAGAGACCACCATAAGACCATTGTTGACCAGATATTATTAGGCTGGTGGTTCATTCTCATCACAGCAGTGGCACCAACATGGTAGTGACATGTTAAAGTATAAGTGTATCAGGCACAACAGCAAATGTAATATGAATGATATAACATTCAATTTTTAAACATCTCTCATACTGAACAACCTGTAACACGGACTGTAGCACCACTGACAAACGGGCACTAAATCTGAGCTTTTCTAGAATATAGTCTACTGTCACTTTAGCTTCAAAATCACATTGTATGTTGAAAATTACAAACAGTGTTCATGTTGTTATTTTATTTCAATTTTTAAATCACTCAGTGTTTCATGACTAACACCACTAACACAACCTTTTTGTTAGACATGAAGCTGTTAGTATTTTAGCCAAAATATTCAGAGTTAATTTATCTTTTTTTCTTTATCACTATCAAAAAATCTTAGGACCAGTGAAAAAAATTATTAGCAAAATAAAGTTATGTTTATATATTGAAAATCATTTTAACATGGGACAATAATTGTAATGCATTTGTACAATTTAACCTAAAAAATAAGCATCAAAATGTTTGTTTCACATAACAATAATATTCTGCATCTGTGAAAATTGTATGCAGAATATGTTTACAAATCATTACAATACAAAAAAGTTGGTCAAAACTAAGTTGGTCAGTGAGGCAGGTGTACCTGATACAATGGGCATTGAGTGTATCCTGCACTGTGTAGGAACCAAGAAGGTGTACATAATAATTTTTATTTTACTTTGTTTTGATGATAGAATTCATTCCAGTGCTATTTAGTCCCATTACATAAGCCCCACTCAGAAGTAGCCTCATTTGCAACAGATGGCAAAAAGCCACAAGACTGCAGACATAACTGTGAAAGAGACGTGCCTGGACTCTTTAACTGAACGAGTTTAATTGGACTTTAAAAACTGTGTGGACTGCATGAAGCAAAACTTTGTGACCACACTGCCCCCTGCTGGCCGATCATAGACATGAGCGCGTCATAGACACGACTTAATGCGATAAGCAACTGCAGGAAGAATATGTGACGGTTTTATATGACACACTTAGCAAGCTATTCAAAACATTATTGTTTAGCACCTTTTAAAGAAAACCAACAGAAAGAATTTAACATATTTATCAAGCAGTTTGTGACCTGAAGAGTTTAAATCTTTCTTTAAGAGCTGTATGAGAATTTGGCTGCAGTTTTCATAATCATACACCCCCCTTCACCTCCCTCCTCCTCTACTCTCTACGCTCCTCTCTCTCTGCCTGTTATTCATTTACTGAAGTAGTCCTTGACAGAACACGTGAATTTTTAGAGATTAAAATACGCCCTGTTACTCACTCGTGACTCATGCGTGTTGTTTGTACAGTCGCTTTCCTGCCCATTGTTCACAGGTGAATTGGAGGCACTTCACACACACATATGATCACTGTTCATCAGTCACTGCTAACTCTGTACTCTTAATTTTGCTCCACTAATGTGGAATGTATTGTAGTGCAGTGCAGGATCGGAAAGCTCGTGTTTAATGATGTTATTTTGAGAGGCGGGTTTCATAACCTGTCACTGTAAATGAAACATTGTATTTTTATCTGCGTTTGGCTCGTGTTCGCCGTCATTATTATAAACTTTATTTTCTAGGGAACAGGTGGTAGGATGTTTAAACAGAGCTGCTCTGTTGTTCCCAGGTGTTCACCAGACAACCCAACACGACAGGTTTGACAAAGTGGCTTTGGATGGCAGGAAGGAGTAGCCACAGGTGCTGGAGCACAGCTTTCATTGTTTATCTCCTGCTGATATGAATTATACTAACAAAGCAGTGACTGGAGACTGGAGAGTTTTACACATTTTACATTCAGCGGTTCTCACATTTTAAATTCACTGAGCTTGCAGGCTTCTGCCTCTTAGATAGATAGTCACTGTTGTCATGGGTTATGGGTTTTTCTGCATTGCTGAATATTAGCTCATTAGTCTTTACTAAACAGAAGGCCAGGTAACGTTAGTCACCATGGTGGAGTGATACTGCAGTAAAATATTTAAATAAATAAATAAACAAACAAATAAATAAAAATAAAAAATAAACTAACAAAAAGTATATTTTGGTGTAGTGATACTACAGTAAAATATGTAAATAAATAAATAAATAAACTAACAAAAGGTATATTTTGGTGTAGTGATACTGCAGTAAAATATATAAATAAATAAATGAAAATAAAAAAGGGAACAAAAATAGTTTTGGGTGTAGTGATACTACAGCAAAATATGTAAACAAATAAAAATAATAAATAAACTAACAAAAAGTATATTTTGGGTGTAGTGATACTACAGTAAAATATGTAAATAAGTAAAAATAAATAAACTAACAAAAAATATGTGTTGGTGAAGTGATACTACAGTAAAATGTGTACATAAGTAAATAATAAACTAATGGTATGTATTGGGTTTACATACAAAATACTTAATTTATTTTAAGATGTCAGTTTTGTAAGCTCGCTGTATCACTTAAATAAAAAAAAATGCATTACTGGACCTTTAAGAATGATGTATGTAAATGAGCACGGTTCTGATTGTTGAGCACCGTTGTGGCTGTATTTTTACTTCATTAAAAAAAACAGTCCTGGCTGAAAATCTCTTCACACCTTCAGTATGAATGGGCGGAGCTAAACTGCTGTAAGCTGAATAGGTAAATACTTGTCACTGCACTAGAGATGGGTGAGATGATAATTTTTTTCGATGAGATACCAAGTACTACAAAATGCTAATCTCCTAATATGAATACTGATAGTGACTCTTTTAAAAGGTGGAATTCTTTGTGATTTTACCAGTAAAAAAAAATGTAGACATAAAAAATGTCTTTGCATTAGTATTAAATAAACTCTTGATAGTATGAGGGAAGATTGATTGAGGGAGGGGAGAGAACTCTGAGAACTTGGGCTGGAGCTCCCCTTGAAACTGTAGTAGGACTATCACAGGAGTGAGGAACAGGGAGGGCATGGGGTGGTTAATGGTGGGAACTGCAAGAACCTTGTCAGGGGAAACAGAAGGTAAGGATGTGAATTATAGGGTGTTAGACTGGACGGAGGAAGGGTTTCAGGCTTGCTCCTCCTCCTCCTCCCAAACTTCAGTTATTCCATAACTCCGTTAAGATACCAATCTCTTTGAGTTATTTTCATAGTGAAAAAACAATGAGTTTGAGATTACATCATTACTTTGAGCTACGACATCCTAACATAATTAGGTTATGGAAACATATTCCAATGCTCTGCATCTGTAAGAGAGGATGATTAGCTCTCCATGTATTTGCTGTGTATGGTGTTCAGCCGGCCCAGCTCAGCACGCCAGCTCTTATAATTACCGCTAGGCGGAGCCCCCGAGTCTGCTGGCAGTCAGACAGGCAGTGGAGGGAGGCGTAAGGCATGCAGCAGTTTGGCTACTGCCACAGTGCTCCACGTTTAGAGACGCGAAACTCGTGAGTCACTTTGTTTTCTTTTATGAAGCTTTAGTGTTTCGTCCATCATTTATCTGTAGGCCTTCTCGGCTTTCCCCTGTGTCTGAGTGTAAAGGTTTTAAACCCTCCATTTTCGGTTCATGACTCAGCCGTTTGCTGTTGCCACAAGAATGTAATCTTGGCCTCTCAGTCACTTCCAGAGAAATCAGGCAGCGAAGCGAAACCCCCACATACATAATAAATTAGCTCCAGTCTGTCGTAGCACGGTTTTTCTCACCTGAGTCATTTTTCTAATCATATCTGAGGTGTTCGTGTTTAAGTCTGGGGTTATGTGCTGTATGTGATGCTCTGCTTCACGTGCTATAAGTGCTGGACTGTGAGGTCTTGTTGACTTATAAGGTAAGTAGATGGATTTAAAATGTAGTGGCAGTTTATTTTAATAGCCTTCATCTGTCCTTGTAATTCTTCACTGTAGAAGGAAAAAAAAAACAATATGGCTGATATTGCTTAACCAGAGAGCTGCTGCTGAGCACCTTTCAGACTGGCAGCTTTTACTGTCAGCACTTGTGTTATTACTTTGAAGTTGAGCACTATCTAACATCTAGATAACAGCTGGCAAACCTATTAATGTGATTTAGGAAAATGCCACTGCCCAGTCTTCTCACACATTCCTGGGAGAGCGCAGTGGTCAGGGAAGAGTTTCCACAAGGGAATCAGCTTTATTTTAGAGAAGAATGTGGTGGGTGCAGGGAGCCTGGAGGAAGAGCCACCCTGTGACTGCTGGAGAACAGAGACATTTGTGTGTGCTGCTGGTTGGCATGACTCTCAGAGGGACTGTATGTGATAATGCTTTTCCACTGAGTCAACCACGCTAGGAAGGAACTCCTCTTAGCCTTAGAGGGCCGGCTGGAGCCTACTGCCAACCCTGGGTCTCGGACTGTCACTGTCAATTGTGTTAGTAATCGAATAGTCTACCGATTATTTTGGCATTTCGTTGAGCTTTTAAAAGACCAGGCAATAAAAATGGACTCAAAAGTGGAACAACAGACCATGCACAGCCTTTCAGAGATTCCAGAATATATTTTTAGAAAAAAGACAAACAAAGAAGCCCTTGAAAAGAACATTTGGAGAATTTAATACGCATTGTCATCAAATAAACTGACAAATATGCATTGCCAGTTCATTGAAATGGTCTGTTTGAATGGATTATTTTTTAGATGGAGTTTAATGAAGTAATGAGAGGCCTATTTTTATTAAACATTGTGGAAGATCTGCTGTAGTTGAACCTTACACCAGCTTCCTCATTACAGACAGAGAACTCCTTCTTGATTAACTCGTTTGCTGGCATTTCCTAATACTCTATTTCATACGCAGTGATCTTCCAGTGCTCTGAGTAGTTGAGTGTTGCTCCTTGCTGCTAACACCCATCAAGTGTTTATAAAGGCTTGCACGCAAAAGGTGGAGGAGTGTAGAGGAGGAGAAGACTTTAGTTAAGAGCATGCTAGAGTTAAAAATATTGGTACACAACCCAAGTGCCCTCCCAGCCACCTGTCAGTCGCCTTCTTTCCACACACCTGATTGGACAGTTCATTTTTAGGAAGCCACCCCTCCGCAATAAATATTAGACCAGATTTATCTTGATCGCAAAAGTGGCCTGGCTGGACGTTTTTTCTTTGGACATGGTCTCTGTAGCTTCATGCATTTTAATGGATGTATGAGATGTTTTTAGACGTCCTTGGATTTCTGAATGTTTTATTTTCCTCGGTGGATGTGGATGGTAAGAGAGAAAATGGGACAAGGAGGCTTGTCTGAGAGGAATTGGAGATTATTTGTGCTGGCATAGAGCGAGTCTGAGCGGGCTTTTTTGCCCCCTGATTTCTGAATGTTCTGTTTTAATTCTGTGCTGATTGTGCACTGTCACCACGATTCCAGCTTGTGCTGTAAAAAACAAAATAAATAAACAACAAAAAAAACAACAGTACAACAGAATGAGAAATATCCTAGTCTCCCAAAGGACCAAAAAGAGAAAGAAAGAGAGGAAGAAGGAGAAGGAAAATGACAGAGAAAGAGAAGACAGCAAAGGCTCTGCTCTGCTCTGCTCTCTTCTGTGTGGCTCCGCCTTCTCATTCCCAGCCCCTCCCACTTTGCCTGTCTTACTTTTCCTGTTAGGGAAGGGTCGAAAGGCAGCGCGCCAGGACCAGAGACGGAGTGAGCAAGGCACACCAGACGCTCTGAAAGTGCACAGCTACAGAGAGAAGCAGCAGCTGCAACCACAGCAAGCTTTCCTGTGAACATACTCTGATCTGCGTAGGAGCTTTGCTCTGCAAGACGTCCCTCTACCAGGTAAAGTTATCTACACTGGCTTTATTACTACTAGTTGTTTTATTTTCCCAGTGAACTCTTGTTGAGGTAGAAGTTATGTTGAAACAGAGGGTACATGCTGCATTAATGGACTCTGCCCTTTCAGTTTTGCTTTCCTCGGCATTGCAGAGAGTAAAGTTAAGTTTTGCCAAGTGGTGGGGGTAGGAGGAGGGGTGTGTCCTAAGGACACCTCATTGTCAGGAATTGTCTTTTCAGCATGGTGTGAAGGAAAATGGGAAAACTGAAATATATGGCTATGTCTATGGCTGTTTATCTCTGTACAGCAGAATTTTGGATTCATAATAGTGTTTTGCTTTATAATAAAGTTGCATGTCTGAGTGTAATGCGTTTAAACTATGTCACAACATGACATCTGAATCAAATGAGATTTGAGTCAAATGAGGATGAACAAATGTGCTTTACACTGAAGGCCTCAAGTTTTACAAGTTGTTGGCGAGAAAATAAATATTTTGTCCTCTTGAAGAGAAAATATTTAAGGACTAGAGTTGTTTAATTATATTTGTTTTAACTGCAAACTTTTGCAGCTTACCCATCCTGTTTTTTTTTGTGTGTGTAGCAATACACCCCACCACAATTATGTAAATGATTTACGTGGGGTTGCAAGGGTGTGGCACTGAAAATAGGGATGGTGGGTGGATGGACAGATGGAGGAGGAGGGAGGCGGAGGAGAAGTTGGAGTATATGAAAGATTTAAAGTTTTGCCTTGAATTAATATAAAACACTATTTTTTGGCTTTCACATGATTGTGTATGTCAACATGGGATTTCTCCAAATCTGCACATCAGTTCAGAACTGTAAATCTTCTCTTCTCTTCTCTTCTCTTCTCGTCTCTTCTCCATTCGTCTTTTTCATCCCTTTCGATCCTTATTCTCTTTTCCATTCTTCTCCGTTCTTCTTCTCTTCTTTATTCCTCTCCGTTCTTCTTCTCTCCTCTATTCCTCTCCGTTCTTCTTCTCTCCTCTATTCCTCTTCGTTCTTTTTCTCTATTATGCTTCTCTTCTTCATTTCTTTTTTCTTCATTTCTCTCCATTTCTCTTCTCTTCTCTTCTCTTCTCTTCTCTTCTCTTCTCTTCTCATTCCTTTCTGTTGTTTCTCCTTCTCTTCATTCCACTCCTCTCCTCTTCATGCAGCTTCATAGCAACAGCCCTTATAACCCTGAAGACCAGTGATGGAGACTCCGGCTCAGAAGCGCAGCAGCCGTGGTGGGGCGACCGCCGTGCTCTCGCCCGCCCGCATCACCCGGCTGCAGGAGAAAGAGGACCTGAGCAATCTGAATGACCGCTTGGCTGTCTACATTGACAAGGTGCGATCTCTGGAGGCAGAAAACGCCGGGCTGAGACTGCGCATCACCGAGTCGGAGACGGAAATCAGCCGAGAGCTGGGCGGAATGAAGGCAGCTTACGAGACCGAGCTGGCCGATGCCCGCAAGACCCTGGACTCCGTGGCCAAAGAGAGAGCCCGGCTGCAGCTGGAGCTCAGCAAAGTGCGTGAGGACTACAAGGAGCTCAAGGCCAGGTATGAAGAGATAATACACTAACAGTCATAGAAAAATAAAGAATTGTGTTATTTGCCAAATTCACTTGCATGTACTTTGAATTAACTTTAGTAAGGCTTAGTAAAAAAATAATGCATAACAACAGTATATAAGCTAAATCCACAGGTTAGTAAGTTTATTGAACATTGAGTTGACTGTAGTTGTCTGTTTCACATTTTCTGTATTTCAGAGGATCCGGTTGTCTACAGGAATTAATATTCCACTGTTCTTATGAAGTTTGTGTGTGTTAGTGTGTTTCCTTCACATCTATTTTTTGTGTGTTAGTCACTGCATTACACCTTAAAGTGTAAGCAAATAACGCCGCTTCACATCTTCTGTTTCCTTAACATAAAACACTTTAAAATGAACTGCCAAAACACATGTAACTCTCCTGTATCCCGCAAGCAACAGTGAACAGGAATTCCTGAAGCAGGAATTCGCCACTCACACGCTGTGCCTCTGGTGCTCTAAATCTTATCCTTAAGCTACTTTTTCACTATGGCGTCAGTTACGGATTTCCCAACTCTTTACTCTTTATAACACCTTCAGAATAGATTGCTGTTTTTTATTGTGTGATTTGATAGGAATGCTGCCTGCTAGCTAGTGCTACACATGCAGCTAGAGCACCATGCACAATGGAGCCCATCCCTAAGGCATATTCCAGCTCATTACAACAGAAGTCTTGTAACCTCAGGGGTGCAAGGTATGCCATCTTACTACCTGCGGGGGCGTGTGATTCAGGAATGTAAGCAGAACTGTCTTACCACACCCCGTCATGGCTACATGAGCCTGTTTACTTTTCCTTCTTAAGTAAAGATGTGTTAAACAGTTACGCAAACTCAAACTTTCACCCGAGCAGAGGGTTTTATTAGGAGCTGTAGGAGTATATGATTATAGCAAAAATATAACAACTGGTACTTCAGGAGTCTTTTACAATACACGATTTGCACAGTGCCATGTCTAAAGAGTACTATAAGATAGGGGTAGGTGATAAATCACATCGCAGAACACTTTTCTGAGCATATCATGAAAGTCATCAGTTCTAAAAGAACACTGAACAACAGCATGTTTGATCACAAAGAAAACATAATTAGTCCTGTTTAATAGGATTTATGCAGTGCAGTATTTGAAACAATGAATAAAATTATAAATAATTGTATTTATAGGTTTTGATAGAATTTTTTTAACGTGGCTCTACTGGTTCTCTTCCAGCTTTTCAAATCTCAGCTAAATATCATGATGTATATTATGTATTATAAAAATCTTCAATATTATGTTTTAACTATACTGTCGTATGCAGAGGTTTGAACACTCCCGAACGGATTGCGTGTTTTTTTCATTCTAAGTGAAAATGTTCATATTTTGCATCTATTTGCTAAGTTTAACCGATTGGAAAAAAACATAAAATATGATAATCTATCAAAAACTATGAATACAGTGATTTATTAAACGTTTCACATGCTGCACTGCACTAAATCCAATGACAGCCCTAATTATGCTCTCTTTGTAATGTAACATGCTGTTGTTCGGTGTTCATTAAGCACTTTTGACATCCACCATATGCTCAGATAAGCATACTGCGATGTGATGTAATCTACCAAAATAATGTTAAATATTATTATGTTGGCCACCCCAGCAAGAAAGCACATTCTTTGCAAGAAAGCAACTGAAACATTATCCACTTTGACACAGAGAGACTTTATCCAAACCAAACCTCAAAATATTCGTTCTGTTTTGCCCAGAGGGAACATTTCAGGTGAATCGAGACCAAGTACTGGAACTGGAACATGTGGATTGTGTTTTACTTACGCTTTCCTCAGTTCTTGTGCCAGTCTGCGTAGGAATATGTAAGCTTGGGTACACTAGTTATGTAAATATGAAAAACGGTGACTGCTTACAAAACTGCCACTGAATGTCAACATAGTACATTCACAGCCATGCCAACACCTCCGGAAGATTAGAACATGCAGACAGACGGTTTTCAATGTACTCATTCACTGAGCGCGAAAATTATCAGTCACATTATTAGAGTTTGTCTCACTGTCATTGAAGTAGACTTTCGCTGTGTCAACGTTGGTGTGTAAACTGGGCGTGGGCCAGTCCTGTAAGGGTGTGGGCCGCGCGCAGCCTTTGAAGCTAAGCTCTCACGGGGCATGTATATCCATAAAGAATCATGGTTATCTGAACAACAAAGATAGCGCTGTGCTGAATTTCACTAAGCCGGAGAAGATTGTTGAGATTTGGGGGCAGAGGCTGCGCCCTCTGCTCCGGTGCTTATGCAGCGCTGTATTTTCCTCTGATAAAGTTAGTCTGTGTGCTGTGACGTGGACGCTGGAGGACACTGTCTCCATTTGTTGCCCGGAGTAACCGAGGCCTGTGTTCCGGAAAACGTCTCTCACTCATTTAGTCTGTGGTGCAGCTCGCGCTCCGTCCCCGTCACGTTCTCTCGCGCAGCCGCCGCTGTTTGGGTGTGTTTGGTTGCCGTGGTAACGGCGCAGCCTCGCCATGGGCGTGTGAGCAGTCGCTGACTGTAATGAGCTATGAGTCATGAGCTTTTAGTGGCTTTGAGGGAAGCAGACGCTCTCAGAACGAGCTCTCAGTACCCTAAACCCCCTCTGCCCTGCTCCGCCGGTGAAAAATGTCTCCTAAATCTGTACAGCGTCTTATTCTCTCTCTCTCTCTCTCTCTCTCTCTCTCTCTCTCTCTCTCTCTCAGTAGAGTGATATCTGATAGGAGTTTAAAGAGCTGCTTAAGAAGCACAGCGTTACCAGTTAGGCTGAAGATTTTAGAGTTTAAGAGAGAATAGGCCTGTCCACGCTCCGCCCACAAATGGTTTTTTTTTTCATAGCAACTGTTGCTAGGTTGGGCAAGCTTTACAGAAGGTTGACAAATATCCCATTCAGCTGTTCCAGCCATAAGCATATGAATTAGAGACGACTACTACTACTACTATTACTACTATTGCTACTACTACTAATATCAATAATAATATAAATAGTAGTAATAATAATCATTATTATTATTATTATTATTATTATTATTATTATTATTATTATAGTAGTAGTAGCAGTAGTAATAATAATCATTATTATTCTTATTATTATTGTTACTGTTACTGTCACATTGTACTTATTTATAATTGTCTATATATATTATAATTATTATTATAATGGCAATAATCATCATGATGATAATACTAATATGGGTATTGCCCTCATATATTGAACTATACATATAAAGTATATAAAATAAGGATTAATAATTATAATAGAAATAATCATAGCAATAATTATAATCACAAGAACAATCAAAATTCTAAATAGTAACATTGACTGTAATAATAATTACATATATTGTTATATATCTCTGGTTCTAGTGTTACTAGTTAATTAAGTTTTTTATCATAGCCTTCATTGCTAACTACTGTAGAATAATTACACTTAAGTGATCTGCCGACATTTTCACATCATACTTGCCATATAATCCTGAGATGTGTGGACATTGCCTCAAGTCGTAATCTGCCTTTAAGTCTACTTAGTGACACTGAGGGAGTCTAACCAATAGAAGTGGAAATATTTAGATCCAAATGGAAAAAGAGCCACACACTCCCTACAAAGTTAGATGTCTCAGTTGTGAATGCTTGCTGTAGCTGTAAAGACCGGCTGAGACAGTTAATATTGTTTTGCTCTTCAATGGGGATTGTGCTTGTGTGGTTACTATCCTAACAGTGTGATTTTTCACATGCATAAAAATATATTTTTAAATGAATAACACATTTTATTTTCACAAAACCTGAGTGTGCTACACTTTATCATTATGTTGAATCTGATTTTTGCCAGCTTGTTCAAACTCATACCAGTCTGTGAAAGAACGCATGTGTGTGTGGAGCAGGGATAGATCAGTTCCAGTGGGGAATACCCATTAGTCACCAGTGGTCCTCTTTAGTTCCCTGGTTTAAAATTACACTTGCTGTAACTGCAACTCTGGCCTGCACAGTCCTGGTGATGCAGCACTAATTGGCCAACATGCAGACATATGCCCTCAAAGGAGAAGAGCTGTGTTTGCCTGTGCGTGTGTGTGGTCACTGTTCTCGCCTTTGGGGGAAAAGCATTTGCCTGCTGTGATCATCAGCAGACAGAGCACCCTATGTAATGGTCGGGTGTGTGTGAGTGTGGCAGCTGCTGTTGGGGTATGTTGGACTACCAAATGCTGCTAGTACTGATGCTGTACAGGTCCTGCACAAACCACTGCAAACTAGTGTAATCCTCAGCCTAGACAAGTGAGGAGTGGACAGCGAATCTGATTTTATGAATTACCCCAACATTAGTGCTAACTGACCATTAATGAGGGTACTGTCCTGTTTACCACTAGAGAAATGGTTCTGTCTGAAAGTTGTCTGAGATAATTCTGTAAAATTCATTAACAGCAAAAAATTCAGTGAGTCATACAGTTCATGTTTTTGAATGAATTATAGTATAGATTTGAGAGAGCAGTCCTTATCGGTCTTATGAAACATGAACTAGAATGAGCTACCTGTCATTCAGATGTCCTTTTGACAGGTCCAGCTATAAGGTCTCTCTGTTATCTTATTGCTGAGGTAAGTATTTTTGACGTTTGCTTTTGCATTTTGCATTGCATCGTGATCATGCATTGCTGTGCAGGAGCCATTACCTTCTATGGGCCATATTCTTTCATATTCTATTGACGCTGTCAAATTTATTTATTTATTTTTTGGTGTGTTTACATCGTTTGAGCACAGAAGCTGCCCTTTACATTATGTGGAAATTATGATGAATGGACCAATAAAAATAAAATAAAAAAAAAAGGGCGTGGGGGAATCCTTTTGCATTAATTTGCATAAAAAAATAAGAATGTATTTGCCTTCTTCTGTAAGAGGTTTATTTTAGAAATGGACATGGTTTTTGTACTGCAATGCTTTATTTTTCCCTGAAGTCCGCTGATAGTATTTGTGTGTTTTTTA